TATATATATATATATATATATATATATTTATATATGCAATCAGGAATTGTGTACAAGTCTTGACTGCACCTTTGGCGGCTCCGTCCTTGAATTCTTCTTCGATCCAAGCAAAATGTTCCTGTTATTTCAGAACACGAATCCAGCAAAAAGACAACTAGTCCATCCGAATTCGCCATAATTACATGCTGCAGACTCCCCAGCGTGTGCAAGGCCTCGCTATCCTTCCTCTAACTAGCTAGCTAGCCAGCTAACTAGCTGTGGTACAGCCTCTGAGGCTGCTCAGAGCATTTTTAGATTATTTTTATCCGATTAACAACTAAATATACCACGGAGTCTAGGGTTTGGGTCGAAGGTTTTGAACTACGGTCAAGATTATAGGGTTTAGATTACCTCTGCTGCTTGTGGGGAAGCGCTGTCGTTATAGAAGAGAGAGGAGTTGGCCGCTACGAATTTAACACCTCCAAACCAGAAGCTGAAGTTTGCTTTCCCTGTTCAGCACAAAATACCCACATACACTTACAAAGAAGTCCAAGTGAACAGAAATGACGGCTGATGGTGGAGCAGAATATGCATCCCCATTCCCCTCTATTGTTCAAACGCAGCAATTTGCACTCTGTTCATTTTCAGCAGGGAACAACACGAAACAAATCGCATTTGCAGAGAAGTTTGCACACTCCCCAAGTTGGATGCAATGTTTTCTGTGTTTTCTCTCCTTATCAAACCTTACCCCAAATATTTTCGTAGTCTTCTATTGAAGCCAAAGTTGGGCGCTCCCCCACATCGTGGTTACCAGGAATGACCAACTAAAGAATAGAAAACGAATGCAGCAGCAGCGTCAAATAATTGCAGCAGCAGACGGATGTAGGAACGAACAGACGCAACGGCAAAACACAGGAAGCAGTGCTATAATTGCCGCTCGGAGAGCATTATCGTACTACTGTAATCATAAAATAGTTTAAGCATTACTATTTTTATATTTACCACAGGTACTTCTTTGCTGGGTTTGTCTAAGGCCTCCTTGAGGTCCCTCGCCTGCTCGTCCTGCAGCAGGTGCACATACACCGCAGAATTCAGCGTTTGAAATGTTTGTTTTCCTTCAAATAAACCGTAAACCTAATCAACAAGTACATTTCCTATGAACAGGCGCACATTCAGCACAATTTCTATTTGTTGAAGTTTTTTCTTGAGGATGTTTGCACTCAAGTCTAGATATTTGTATCATCACCGGATGCCTGTGGGGGCAACTTCACAACCATGTGAAGCTCAAGAACAAAGCAAAATTAAGAGTTCCGATGATGGATCATTGCTGTTGCTGATATCTCCAATAGTTATGTTCAATCTGTATTTATGCAATAACTATATCTTTCCTTCCTATCTGCTCCTTGTCAGACACCCACCATCCAGCAGCAATCGGAAAATGTCGACGAAGCGGAACCGTTAGCGGGAGCAGCAACAGCAAACAGCAGCAACACCAACCAGCGGCAACAGCAAACGTGAAAACCGCGTGCAGCGAAGGCAGCACATTCGACAGGAGCAGCATCAGCAGCGTGTTACAGCATATAGTAGTAAAAGCAGCAAACGTTGGGAAGCAGCAGCTCGTTCGCCTTAATTGACTTACGCGGACGGTTCGAATTGCAGCTGCATTGGAGCCTGTGTTGTGCGCAGGCACGGGTGCATGCACAAGGTCACCTAAGACGAAGATGAACGCAGGTTGGGGCTCATGAGCTGCTGCTGCTTCCATGCATTCCTTGGCTTGTTGCAGCTCTTCACTCCAAGAATTGTTGTTCTTGAATAACCCCAGCTGGGAACAACAAAAAGGATGCATTTACGGACATGCTGGCGGTGTACGGGCATCCGCGGCTGCTTCTGCTTCCATTTGTTATGCTTACACTGAAAAGGCTCGTAAGGATTTGCTTGAAATGACAAAATGCAGCAAACAACAGTCTCAACGCACACGGAACGAACCTGAGGATCTGCAATCAAGGCGAAGGTGAATGGAGATGACCACTTCGTCCGGTCCTCATCCCCAGGGAACCTAAATTCAGAAGATTCAACCTTAATTAACATTGTCCTGTTGAATTAATAGGCGAAAAGTTTTCCAAAGAACCTGTTGCAATCGTTCGACTGCCTCACGTATCTCCAGACACCAAGGTTGTACGGACACTCGCCAAGCCTCCGCAAACACCAGTTCTAAGTCTATCAAAGAATAGAATTGCTTAATTATCCGCTTTCATATATTTACAAGTAATTCATAGTCATCAACGTCACAATGTAGGGGAGTACCACTACAACCCCCAGGGGCCCCCCACTCCTTTCACGGGGCCCCCCAGCTGGCTACTGGGCTTCGTCCGTTTCCAACGTTTCTGTGGTAAAGAAAGAAAACACAGCTGATTCTTCTGGAAGTCGTTAAAAACTGTTATCGAAGGCGCAGAATCCTCGGCAGAGCATCACAGGGAAACAACCCCCCCGCTGACGACGTTGCTGTGGGACAGCAGAAAATATAGGAATTGCACCACCACCACCACCAGCAGCTGCAGTAGCCGTTGCTGTTCCTCCAACTGTTTTACTCTGAATTTTAAGATGCATCCATTTCCTTTCTGCCCAGGATTCGGCAACTGCTGTGGAAAACGCGGCTGCAGGTGTCTACACTCACCGATACCTGCCGGGTGACCCCCCACGTACCCCACATTGCTATCAACAGGAGGGTAACCGGGTGGCTTTTCTGTGTGTTGAGCCTACAGTGCAAGCCAACTATGGTTGCTGCTACTGTTGCAATGGTGTTTCACCTAATGGAAAGGGGCACTTGTGTTGGCGTGTGTGCACGGCAAAATATCAAAAATATCTCAACAGGTTGAAGTTGCCTTTGTGTTAGGTAACACTTACGCAACGGCATATTTGCCCGTCTTACACCACGGGATATATATGAGTCTACACGCCTGCACACATCCAGACTTGTGTGCATATGCATGCAAGTAGTTCTGTGCATGCACTGCATGCATGCAAAACAGAACCCAAGAGGTGTATGTTTGGGTAAGCAAGAATCTGTCTTGTACCAACCCAACTGTCTTTTGTGCGTCGCTCGTAGGCTTTCTGTACACTCCAATAGAGTGAGAGTAGGGGCTTGCTAGCCGTGTCAAGGACTCGATTGCTCATACACACATGCAGCAATCATCAAATACGTAGCAGCAACAGAACAAGTAAGCAAGAGAGCAGCCCTAGCAAGAGCTGAAGCGGCAGGAAGAGCAGCAATAGCAGCAGCAGGAACAGCAAGGGCAGCACCATCTACGACACCAGGTGCAGCCTTTATCTACTAAGCAGACAGCGACAAGGAACTCTTCAGGTGTTTTTGATCGGATGGGCTGCAATGCTGCTGCAGCCATGTCCACGTTATCGCGTTCAGGTGTATGCACACCTCAAGTATGCCGCCTCCCTGAGGTGTACGTACACCTCTTGACTCCTCTAATCATCGGGAGAAGGGCAGAAGGCAATAAAGTTGGGGGAGGTGGGCATTGGGTAACGCCGTTTGCCTTTGGGGGGTTCGACCTGTAGCAAGCCGCAGCAGGCACAATGGCGATGCAAAAGGAGAGACAAGCAGTTAACAGTAAAACAAATACGAACCGACTGGTACTTGAAACGCGTCTCCAAACACTGCCATCGCTACTGCACACGGGGGTATCAGGCCACTTTCATACGAGGCAGGTCTTCTTGAGGCGGGTGTACACATGAGTCATTACAGGGAGGCCAGAATCTTTAACGGCAGCAAAGCGGTCAGCTATCTGTCCAGGTGTCAGCTAGCTGGCTAGCTAGCTGGGTGTCTATCTGGCTAGCCAGGTAGTTAGCTCAGGCTAGCTAGGTACCTCAAAGAACTTGCATTCGACTTTGGCTCGACCTGTGTATGCCAGCAGCGTGTGTGTGTGTGTGTGTGTGTGTGTGTGTGTGTGTGTGTGTGTGTGTCGCGGACTATATGTACACTTGGAAAGTTGTAAGGGGGGGTTGCCTGTATTTGTTTTGTGTTAGTCTTCATTGGAGGCAACTTGCCAAGTGGTTCAGTGATGCAGTAAGGCGAACGGGCAGATGGAAAGGGGATTAAGGTTGGAAAGAAACCAAGGGAAGAGGACAGAGAAGGTTGGAGTCACAAGTTGTACAAGACAGGGAGACAAAGAATCGCGGAGAGCCGGACAAAGAGAGAGGAGGAAAGAGTTACACAGAGAGTGACAGGCGCAGAGGGAAAAGGACAGAAAGAAAAGGTCGATCAGGAGGAAAGAAAAAGAAACAGTGAACCAGCCGAAAGGGAATGGAAACGAATAGACAGGGAATGATGAAGATGGAGATGGAGAGCGGTTCAACTATATATCTTCAGGATTTACAAATACAGTAAGAGACCAGGAGACAGACAGTTAAACAGACATATGGGGTGGCAGAGACAAGGAGACAAAGCGCTACCAAGGCAGACATAGAAACCGTTAAACCAAGAGCTAGGGAGGAGAGTAGACAGACGGAGGCAGAGAGAATCGGAGTAAGCGGCACAAAGGAACCCAGCAGCACAAGCAAACAGAAGCAAACCGAACTGAAGGTGTCTCCTGTGTCTCACCGGATCGGCCGCAGGCCGAAAGATGTTTGAACTCTGACTCTGGAGGTACTGCTGTCTGCTGTAAGTCAAGGGGGCAAAAGCCTTCGGCGGTGGATCAGCCCATGGGCACGTCTCAAGACGAGCTGCTTCTGCTGCATCACCATCACCCGTTGATGGAGACTTGCAGCTCTGGTTGCCGCCTACAGTTGCATTCACTCTCACCGTATGTTCTCTAGAAGGCTCCCTTGCATATGCAGGAGGCCTCTGTTGTTCCCCTCCTCCACATGGTACACTAGGCAGGGCAGCCAAACAATTTTCTTGATGTGATGAAGAAGTTTCAAGCGTCGATGGCTGCAGTATTTTGTACATCTCGATTGACTGAAGGTGTTTGGGCGGGGGTTTAGTCCCTGTACATTTCTTGCTTGGGGCACAACTGGGTATGTGCGTGCAGACGACAGGATCGCTGCCTTCTATGATGCCTTTAATGGTGCCTGCTGCTGCAGCTGCAGCTGCTGCGCTGCGGCGGTTTGAGGGCTGCGGGGGGCCCACGGGGGGCATAAGTTGTTTTCTTTCAAGAGAGAAGACAAAAGGCCGAGGCTCCATTATGGAGAGCAGCAGATAAGCAGCGTGTCTGGCGTTCAGCGGGAAGGTGAACCAAGGATCAGCAACTATCCCACTGCTTTGAATGACAAGAAGGCAGAAGAATAAACTAAGCTGGCAAAACGCCGCCTAAAGAACGTGTTTCTTGCGTAGCTATTGAGGCAAGGAGAGGCATGCTGTCGGGTGTAGTCCTAGGTGTCTGTCTATCTATCTGTTTATCCGTTTGTCTGCATGTTTGTCTATGTAAGCAGCACAAAGCGTTCTAGCTTGCTGTTCGTATTCCTTTATGCATTCAGGCTACAGTAGCAGACAATACAACAGCCACATGACACACTGCAACACTGCGTTCGGTACTAATGGTTGTTGGAATGCCCACTAGAGTAATAGTGGGAGGGAGAAAGATTCCTAAAAAGAGATAATACCTTTATTTAAGAGCATTCAGATCAATTACTCTCAGTTTAGCCGCTGGCTTCCATGAAGCTGGTCTGCAGCTGTGCATGCATCTGGCATGCCGACTTGGGGTCGGGAAACTTGATTCGAATGCAAAGACACCTGATGTTGAAAAAATAAATATTAAATTTTGTTATTGAATAGAATAAAAAGGAAAATGGAAGTCAATTGCTGTGTGGATGAAATGAGTCCGCCTGTGACCTCCCCGGTCCGTCGGAAGGCGCAAAGCGGGTACATGGAAACTCAAGCCAAACAAACTTGGGCAATTGAAATACTATTTCTTTTCATATTCTAGGAGAAAAAGAAGCTCTGCAAAGGGTTTTCATCCGAAATATGCCCACAGTGTGAATGCAAGAGCAGATCAGGCACCAGTCGAAGGTAACTGTGCGTTGCCAGTTGCTGTGGAAGGAATATCCACCCATCAAGCGATATTCATGGGAAAATGTCAACGAAAAGAAGAGAAGGAACTGAAAATGTTTTTTCCCCGCGGAATCCAGAGAAACAGCAAACAGAAACCCTGCGCAGCGTCTAGTTTCGGCAGCTTAGTTCCGTTACTGTTAAGACAGCTAAATCGTGCTTATTTACGTACTTAACTAGCTCAAGTTCTTTTCCTTTGACGCAGACAAGCATATTCGCTTCTTCACATGTGTAAGAGTGTCAAGCTTCATTTATGCACATTTCGTGCTGTAACTGCCCAGTACACACAGGCTGGCAAATGCTTTACCCCTCAGAGCAGAGATTATCGGTTCTTTGCTGTGCTTGCAAGACTGACCCCACCATATACGGTTTGAAACTCTCAACACAAGGCCAAACAGCGACAAAAATGATCAAATGATATTTAAATAAGTAGACAATGGAGCAATTCTAGGGAGATACTGACTGTCGAAGGGTTAACATATTAGATGCGTTTTCCAACAGACATTTCCGTGTTTTACCTCTGCTTTCTTGGAAAGCAACTAGGTGCTGGATGCCTTACTTAAGCTAACTACGTTTTAGTCAACACAATTTATATTTGCTTCTTATGTCGCGTTCCCACTCTTGTAGATTTCTAAGCCATTTTGTTCCGCCTGGAAGTTGTTGCCTAGTTCACAGAAATAGACCTAGCCAAGCGAAGTTTAGTCTATTTCTCTTTCTCATGCTTCTTCCTTCTTCTGTCTTAGGATTTGTCTAGGTTCGAGTGTTTGCTTTGTTGTGTGCTGCTAAAACATCTTCTCACCGTTCAGGGTTTGACGGCACAACATGTGTCATTACGGACAAAACTGGAATGCATCCACGGTCTACCAATTTTCACCAGAATGTTTTATCTCGCGTGAGGAGCGGTGTGTTTAAGGCAAGGCCTACACCAAAGGTGTAAACGACGAATAGTATAACAAGAAACAAGATGCGCTTTACAAATCAGGCGAAAGAACAATAACCCTCTGGAATGCAAACAGGAAGAAGGGGGCAG